CCTTCCTAAGCCAAGCAGGTCGGATCCTTTCAAATTGACGAAAGGTTAAAACTTGTGGGCACGGCGTAAAGTCTCGTTGTAAATCCATCTCCACCATCCCCGCTTTTCCTGTGTGAAAAATGTTTTCTAGTAACCATCTCCTCTCGAGAATCTCGTGACAAAAATCTTTTCGCCGTTTACTATTTTCGCTATATTAGTTTTTTCGCGCAATAGATGTCTACATCTAACCGCCCGTCCCTCATTCCCTCGCTTTGGGACCTTTTATTATAGGAAGTTGAAGCAGCTGCGCATTGGTGACATATTCAGAGGATGTAAAAGCCTCAGCCCGCATACTTAAAATCATAACAACTCCTGTATACCACAATGGTGGGGAGTTCTCTCTCATTGTGTCGTGTTCTGATAATCGGTCGTATTTTTTGTCCGCGTTTAGACCAGCCCTATATCTACTTGATTATTTGACAACGCTCTGGTTTCGGTGTCCTCGGATGTCGCTGGATGATTACAAGGCACTGGTTTAAACAACATCCTTAGGGCTTCGCGGGGTGGCATAAACTGCCTTTCAAAACGGTGGGTGCTTTGGCGATTTGCTGGTATCGCTACCATTGGGGGGCCCAGCTCAAACTGACGATCCAGCAACACGACAATCCCTAATCCTCCCTTTTTTTCAAAGCTGTCCAAACCAGCTTTGGAGGCATTCTATTTATCCCCTCGCGACTCTCGTCAAATCGTTGGGGCTCTAATTCTTGTAAATCTACAGACGGGATGGACGGATGGCGATTGGTGTGTACAACACTGTCGTCGTTGCTGGCACTTTAGGATAGTGGGGTACATGACGAGTCACAACGAGATTGCAGCGTACCTGAACATCTTTCATCTACCAGGTAGGCGGCGAAGTTACGGCGACTTTTCTGTGCAGCGTTGGTCGGCGCGGGTTTAGGATTTTTATGGTATAACGGTCATCCGGCGCAAGTCTTTATGGGCGATACCTGGTCGTCACTGGCACTCGGTGCGACGCTCGGAACAGTGGCAGTCCTTATAAAGCAGGAATTCCTGCTCGTAATAGTTGGTGCTATCTTCGTCGCCGAGACGTTGTCAGTGATCATCCAAGTCTGGTCGTATCGTACATTTGGCAAACGCGTATTCAAGATGTCGCCAATTCACTATCATTTCTTGCTTTCGGGTTGGAAAGAATCCAAAGTCGTCATCAGATTTTGGATTGTGGGACTTATTTTGTTTTGATAGCTTAAGTACGTTGAAACTTCGGTAGATATGGTTTTAAACTGCGCGTTGGAGGGATCTCGGTGCAATTACAGGGAAATGTGTGACAGTCTTTGGTTTAAACCGAAGTGGAGTCGCCGCTGCAAAATTGCTACGTTCATACGGTGCCGCTGTCACAGTTACAGATACACGCTCCGCCGAAGCGTTGTCAGCGGAAATCGCTGCGCTCAATGAGTTGCCCAAATCGGACGAAACCTGTAATCTATACCGAAAATTTTTCGATGGGCATCCGGCGGAATGCATTACAGATGCCGATTTTATAGTCGTTTCACCGGGTGTGCCTCTTAATATTCCGATTCTTCGCGATGCGTGCGCGCGTGACCTTCCGATTCTCGGGGAATTAGAGGTTGCCGCAAGCGTATGTCCAGCTCCAATCGTTGCTATTACTGGTACAAAGGGCAAATCAACGACAACACTCCTCACAGCGGCAATACTAAAGGCAGGAAGTAAGTTCCCGAACATCTGTATCGCCGGTAATATTGGCGTACCCTTAGCAGCAGAGGTTCAAAAACTTACAAACCAAGATGTTGTTGTCGTTGAGGCAAGCAGTTTTCAGTTGGAAAGTACTATCACTTTTCATCCGACAGTTAGCGTAGTGCTTAACCTATCGCGCGATCACCTGGACCGGCATAAACGATGTCTGCGTATCGAGCAGCAAAACAGAAGATTTCTGAGAATCAAACGAGTGTTGACTGGATCATCCTCAACAGTTCGGATGCATCTGTCAAGGATTTCGAGACATCAACGGCAGCGCAAAAAGTCTATTTTACAGACAGAGGTGCTCCTGAAGATTCGTCGTTTTTAGGGGTATTTAGAGAAGGCTCGGGACTTTTTTCGCAATGGAACGGCACGCGTAAGAGGATGTGTGATATTGCGGATATTCCACTTCCGGGAGCGCACAACGTACAAAACACCCTCGCTGCTATTGCTGTAGGACTGATTTTTGGTGTGTCAGAAACACAAATTAGAGAAGCACTTCAGCAGTTCGACCGGTCGCATCCTGCTTTATCGCACGCGTTTGAACCCGTAAGGACTTTAATGGGTGTTGAATTTATAGATGATTCAAAGGCAACAAATGTGGCGGCAGTTAAGGCAGCCCTTGAGTCAATAAAAGACTCTCAAATTGTCCTGATAATGGGTGGCTACGACAAGGGTAATGACTACACACCACTACGTGAAATTGTTCAGACCCGGGTCAAAGCCGCCGTGATGCTTGGTGAGTATACCCAGCAGATTGAAAAAGTGCTTGCCGATACAACAGATATAATAAAGGCGAAAACGATGGCACAAGCGGTACAAGCTGCCTACAAACTTGCGTCACCGGGAGATGTCGTCCTATTGTCACCTGCAAATGCAAGTTTTGATATGTACACCGACTATAAGGCACGCGGTGCCAACTTTAAAGCAGCGGTTGACGCGCTTCAATCACTTCATTAAAAAATTTCAACAAATTAGGTTTTTAAGGATCTAAAGTAACACAGGAAGGAAAAGACACCACGATGCTACGCAACTACCAAAGCTCTCCTCGTAGCAAGCGAAATTTCAAGTCTAAACAAAAATCTGGACCTTGGTGGGCAAACACGCGCACCTACCCTGTTGCTGAAGATCAACAGGAACAGAGAACGGAAACGCCATCTGGAGCAAACCCTGGGCGAATGGACAGAGGATTAATAGCCTTTACCTTCTGCCTTATTGCCATAGGCATTTTGATGGTATACAGTTCAAGTCATCTCCTTTCCTCAAGGCACTATGACGGCTATAGTTACCGTTACTTGCAAATACACATCATCGCATGTACAATCGGTTTAGTTGGTATGTTCATGACTTCCTATGTGCCCTATAGGTTTTATGCGAAGTACGCGAACCTCTTTTTGATACTTTCCTTTGTCGGGTTATTATTGGTTTTCGTGCCAAGTTTAAGTGTGAGTGTGCAAGGTGCGGAAGGTGGCAGATTTAAACGCTGGATCAATATAGGATTGCCTATTAATTTTCAACCTGTTGAATTTGCGAAAATAGCGTTGGTTATTCATGTGGCAAATTTCATAGGCCGTAATCCAGAACGCGTTAGAAGTTTGTTTAACGGTGTGCTTCCGAATATTCTAATCGTAGCTGCTGCCTTCGGTCTCGTAGTGAGTCAACCAGATTTCGGTTCGGCGTTCTTATTGGCACTAACCGTCTGCGTAGTCCTATTCATCGGCGGAATGCGTATATGGCATGTATTGATGCTTGCTGGTGCGGGTGGTGGTCTTCTCAGTTTACTCGTAATTCGGGATCCTTATAAGTTAAAGCGGATCATGGACTATTTTGCGATGTTGAAGTCACCAGATGCAGCGCATTATCATTTAACGCGTTCGCTGGATGCTCTTGAAGGTGGTGGACTCCTCGGGATGGGTATTGATAGTAGCCTTCAGAAAATCTCACGCCTTCCGTACCCACACACCGATTTTATTTTTGCAGTATTAGGAGAAGAATTCGGGTTTATAGGTGCTGTGACTGTAACAGTTATTTTCATGTTATTTGTATGGCGAGGGTTCCACATTGCCCGACAAGCCAGTGATTTGTTTGGATCTTTGCTTGCCATTGGAATCACAACACTGATCGGTTTACAAACGTTTATTAACATTGGCGTTGTGACAGGCTTGCTGCCGACGAAAGGCATTACATTGCCGTTTATTAGTTACGGCGGTTCATCAATTGTCCTCAGTTTGGTGAGCGTTGGTATCCTTCTTAATATTTCAAAAGGCAACAATCAAGGGATAGACTAATACCAAATTAACTTGATTAGCAGTCTTTTGATCAAGTCAGCATTGCGAGGCACAGGGACCTCGCGCTACAAATGGGGTTAATTTGGTATAATACGCGATTAACCAATTTTGTTAAGATGGCTTCTCAATGGGACCTTTTGGTGGGCTTAATCATGGCTATTTCTAAGCGTTACGATACAGCTTTAGCAGAGACCGACAGTCGGGACGTAGCGTCCGCTCAACAGATAGAGACACACAAAAAGGTGGTTGTTTCAGGTGGAGGGACAGGCGGTCATATCTATCCGGCGATCGGCATCGCGCAGGCGTTGCAGCGCATGGATACCACGGTAGATATTGTGTTCATCGGTGGTGCAGACAGATTGGAAGCCACACTGGTTCCTCAGCACGGTTTTCGCTTTCTACCGATCTCAGTCGCAGGTTTTCCACGCCATTTAACTTTACAATGGTTCCGAGTTATCTGGAAGGTTTTGCGTGGGCTCACCCAATCATTGCGGTATATGAAGGAACTGAAACCAGATGTTGTTATAGGTACAGGTGGATATGTTTCAGGTCCGGTGCTTTTAGCGGCTCTCCTTCGCAAGATCCCAATAGCCATCCAAGAACAGAATGCTTCTGCTGGCTTAACGAACGGTATCTTGGCACGATGGGCAAAGGCTGTCTACCTCGCTATGGAGTCAACTCGCGAGGGCAACGCGTTCCGACACGCTATGCATATAGAGGTGACCGGAAATCCGATCCGTCCAGCAATTGCGGCATTTCCGAGACATGAGGAAACTTATCGGAAATTCGGATTGTCGCCAGATCGGAAAACAATCTTTGTGATGGGCGGGAGTCAGGGTGCTCGTGCTATTAATGAAGCCGTTGTTGCTGCACTGCCACACTTAGTTGGATTTGCCGATCAGATCCAGATTGTCCATCAAACTGGTGCAGTTGAGATGGAGGCGGTCCGAACTGAATATGAAAGGGTCCTTGAATCACATAAGGAGTTCGTACACTGTGTGCGCCCCTTCTTCGACGCTGTTGAGGAAATCTACAGCATCACAGACATTATGGTGTGCAGAGCAGGTGGGATGACTGTTGCCGAAGTTACTGCCTGTGGTATTCCGGCAATTTTCATACCTTTACCCTCACAGACGGGAAATGATCAGGTGCTAAACGCGCACAGTGTCGCTGAAAAGGGTGCTGCTGTTGTGCTGGAACAAGGTAAATTCAGAGTAGAAATGCTTGTTGAAACCCTTACCAATATACTACTGAATCAGAGCACACACGAACAGATGGTGGCGGCCAGTCGGGCACTCGGCAAGCCACACGCCAGTGATGACATTGCCAAATCTATTCTTTCGTACGCTTAGTTCGGAACGTAATCAGTTCTTTGCCGTGTAATATATCAACTTTCAAAGTAGTATTTACAAGTCTCGCGTTGGGACAAAAGAGATAAAATGTTTGGAAAAACACGACATATCCATATTATCGGTATTGGAGGGGCAGGTTTAAGTGGTATCACTGAAATTCTGCTGGACCTTGGGTTTCATGTGACAGGCTCAGATATTCAGGAGTCATATACGACAGAGCACTTACGCGCGCGGGGGCTACTATCTACTATGGACATGCCGCATCCCATATAAATGGTGCCGATGTTATCGTTATCTCGCCTGCCATTCCAGCTGACAATCCGGAGCTCCTTGCTGCAGAGACGCAGAAAATCCCAATCGTCAGGGGTGCGGAGATGCTGAATGAGATCACCCGAATGCGCTATAGCGTTGCTGTCAGCGGAACACACGGAAAAACAACCACAACCGCTATGACTGCTACAGTCCTTAGTAGCCTTGATCCAACAGTCGTTGTAGGTGGGAAACTCATGAACGGTAGCCACGCTCGAAGCGGTGAAGGCGATGTTATGGTAATTGAAGCAGACGAGGCGTACGGCTCTATTGAGATGTTTTATCCTACCGTTGCCGTTGTCACATCCGTTGATGCGGACCACCTGGATTATTACAATAGCGTTGATGAAATTGGGGAAACCTTTCTTAAATTCATTAATAAGGTGCCGTTCTATGGTGCAGCGGTCCTCTGCTTGGATGCCGAGAATATCCAGAAGTTCATTCCACGGGTTAAGAAGCGTTATATTACATACGGCCTTGAGACAGGCGCGGATTTGGTTGCTGAAGGTATTACTGTAGAAGGTCCCACGTCGCGCTATCGAGTTCGCAAAAATGGACACCTGCACGGTGAAGTCCATCTGAAGATGCCGGGTCGCCATAATATTTCCAACTCCTTAGCAGCAATCGCAGTCGGACTCGAGCTTGATATTCCGTTTGATCGCATCCGGGAGAGTCTTGAGTCGTTTCAAGGTGTGCATCGCCGTTTTGAAATCCTTGGAGAAGTTAATAATATCATTGTTGTTGACGATTATGCCCATAATCCAGCGAAGTTGAAAGCAGCACTGAGCGGTGCGCGCGACGGTTACAAACGTCGTATCGTCGCGGTTTTCCAACCACACCGATACCAGCGTGTCAGAGATTTGGCAGACGAATTCTCTCGATCTTTTTATCAAGCGGATGTACTTATCGTCACCTCAATTTATAGTGCTGGCGAGGCACCTATTGAGAACGTCACCGCTGAAAAACTTGCACAATCAATACAGGCACACGGACATCGACACGTCCTCTATGTCCCAGATACAGATGAAGTTACCGATGTTCTGATGAAGATAACGCAACCTGAGGACATTGTGATTACGTTAGGAGCTGGTGACATTAGTAAGGTAGGGCGCGAATTCTTAAGTAGGCTTCAGGCAGTAAATTAATCAGAATTATTTTCTTTTACGCGCTGGATTTTCAACTTTCAAGATTCACCGACATTGAACACCACGGGGACAACACACTCTTGCGATGGAAGATAAACGGAGGGTTCATTCTTGCGCAGAAAGCGTGATGGATACATACGGCAAATTTCAATGCCTGCACGGCGGCTGGGGAAGCGCACGAATGCCAAGATTTACCTGTTACGGCGTGTCGTTTTGATCGTTGCTATTGTACTTACTTTATCGTTTATTGGCAAGATAGTACTCAGTTTTTTCGGTGCCGAATATGTTTCTCTTGAACTTTCTGGGAACATGCACTATACTGATGTACAAATTTATGATGCCCTGGGTGAGCAGCTGCAAAATATCGTCACAGACTCTGAAGAACAAACATCTATCTATCTCAAGAAGCATCTGAGTTATATCAAAGATGCTCACGTTACCAAACACGTAATGAAGCGGATGTTAACTATCGAAATCACTGAGCGTGAACCCTTTGTACTCCTGAGAGTTGATTCTACTGCAAATGTCTCCGTTAATAGGGATAGTTCGTTTTTCTTGGTAGATAGTGAGGGACATGTGTTAAAACATATAGATAAGAAAGATGCTAATCCGCAGATATCTGAGCAATTCGGAAAGATGGTAGTACTCAGGGCAGTAAGTGATGAGTTGCCGAAAGTTGGTGCTGCTGTCGGGATGTCCGAAGTTGCATTGGGATTAGAAATCTTAAAGACCGCCTTGCTTCAGGAACGAAACCTTGCAACACAGATAGAAAGTATCGACGCAAGCAATCCCCAGAAGATAAAACTCGAACTTGATGCTTTCCCTGTGTCTGTTTGGCTTGCCGCGGATGCGATTGAATTGGGACTGCATCATATCACTCTGTTTTTAAAACAGCGCAAAATCCAAGTGCTCCAACTTATCCGGGAGAATTTAGTGGAAACACAGCCGTACTTGGATGCGAGATTTCAAGATACCGTCTACTTAGGGGGATTAGCAGAAAGCGAATAGTGCCTATTTCGTAGACACCGATAGGTACAAGAATAAAGTACTATCCCTATTCATCGTTCTTTATGTCTAAGATGTTATGGGAAAGAGAGGTGAAAAGAATTAAATGCCAAAACAAAACATTATTGCAGGTCTTGATATCGGTTCAAGCAAAATCTCAGTAGTTGTTGGAAATACGTTGCACGGTAGCACCCAAAAAATAGGGGTGATTGGTGTTGGCCATGCACCGTCCGAAGGTCTTCGAGCAGGTGTCGTCGTTGATATTAACCAAACGGCGGAGGCTATCCGTAAAGCGATTGCGAATGCGGAATTAATGGCAGGCGTGAAAATAGACTCTGTCTGTGTCGGCATTTCCGGCGATCATATCATTGGACAAACGTCCCACGGGGTTGTTTCTGTCGCGAACAACGAGATTTCACATGACGATGTTGATAGAGCGATGATAGCAGCAAAAGCTATTTCTATTCCTGCTGACCGAGAGATATTGCATGTAATCCAGCAAAATTTTGTCGTTGATGCTCAGGACCGTATCAGAGAACCGATTGGGATGTCTGGCGCGCGGCTTGAAGCTTACGCTTACATTATCACAGGTGGTACAACGGCTATTCAGAATTTGCTCAATAGTATTGAAAAGGCAGGCGTGCCTATAGTAGAAACACTCGTCGCCGCCCCTCTGGCTGCAACGCAAGCAGTCGTTTCAAGGGATGAACGTGAAGTTGGCATTGCCTTGGTTGACATCGGTGATGGAACAACCGAAATCGTCATATACAAAGAGGATTCTATTCAACATACAACAGTAGTCCCCGTCGGTGGGCAGCACGTTACCAACGACATTGCTCAATACTTAAAAGTCACCCTTCCAGAAGCGGAGGAGCTAAAACTTCATCGCGGCTGCGCTTGGACGGAATTAGTCGACCCAAGTGAAGTCAGGTCTATTCCGGTCACGAGTGAATCTACTCCTCCGCGTTTCATCGACCGAGTTGAGCTTGCACAAATTATTGAGTACCGCATGGCAGAAATCTTAGAAGTGATTGGTTATGAATTGGATGATATCCCGCTTCCGGGTGGGCTTGTTCTCACCGGTGGTACGGCACTTATGGATGGTCTTCAAGAACTTGCGGAAGCCGTACTTCAGCTGCGCGTTCAGGTAGGTTACCCGCGAGGTTTACAAGGCTTAACTGATCGGGTAAATCACCCGATGTACGCGACGGGTATAGGACTTGCCCTTTACGGCGAATCTTTACGGCGGCAGGAGCAAGAACACAACGCACGTCATAGCGATGGTGGCGTTGGGAATTTTCTACAACGCATCAAAGAATGGTTCGGATATTAGGTCTACTTCCTTAATAAAGTAAGTCTTATCCGAGTTAGACTTTCAGGAATACTTGACTTAACTTTTCTAATAGCGTATAATTTAATGTGAAAAAGCGAACCAACAAAAGTTATGAAGGAACCTCGGTCAGGGATTGAGGCTACAATGATAGGAGGAATTAGGTTGCTGTGTCTTTGTGATAGTAACTGAAAGCCAACATGATAGAATTTGAACAAGAGGAATTTGAAAATTTACGCGCCAAAATTAAAGTCATTGGTGTCGGTGGAGCTGGTGGCAATGCTGTGAAACGTATGATTGAAGCTGCGATCACTGGCATAGAGTTTTATGCTGTTAACACCGACCAACAGGCACTGCTGACCTGCCGCGGTGCCTCCCAAATCCCGATCGGCGTTAATACGACCGAAGGTTTAGGTTCGGGTGCCGACCCGGTGATCGGTAGAAAAGCTGCTGAGGAAGATAGGGAACATCTTCAAAGTATTGTCGAAAATGCAAACATGGTCTTCATTACTGCGGGTATGGGTGGCGGTACCGGTACCGGTGCTGCGCCTCTTATAGCTGAACAAGCAAAAGAACGCGGTGCCCTTACAATCGCAGTCGTGACACGTCCGTTTGACTTTGAAGGGCAACGCCGCTCCACAGTCGCCGAGGAAGGACTTGAAGAACTCCGTCAAGCAGCCGATTCCGTAATTGTTGTCCCAAACCAGCGCCTTATTGACTCGATGGACAGGAAATTGCCAATTCGAGAGGCGTTCCGCATTGGAGATGAGATCCTCCTCCATGGGGTAAAAAGCATCTCTGACATCGTTACAGAGTCAGGCGAAATTAACGTTGACTTTGCCGACGTTGAATCCATTATGCGAGGTGCTGGAAGCGCATTGATGGGTATGGGGCATGCTACTGGTGATAATCGCGCCCCTATCGCAGCCGAGCAGGCTATTAGTTCTCCGCTCCTTGAACAGACCAACATCGCTGGGGCTGTCGGTATGATTGTCAATATCACAGCACCTCCTGATTTCATGATGCACGAGCTTGATGAAGCGATGCAGGTTATTAAGGATACTGCGCCCGAGGCGCAAATTATCTTTGGTCTCGTTTACAAAGATGAATTGGAACTCGACGATGAAGTACTTGTGACTGTCATCGCAACAGGTTTTGATTCTGAGGCAGGATACTCACTCGGGGCCGAGACATCAGGCAGTGGAAATCCATTGACACGCCATGATGAATCGGATGTCTATCAAAGACAGCCATCAGCTTTATCGGAACAGCGTATGGCAAGGGCAGATAGAACCCGACCGGGTGGTAGAGTGTCATCTGGTAGGTCTACTACTACGCCAACCCGCAGACAGAGAGCAGAGGCAGAGCAACCTGTGGAGCAAGAGCAACCTCCCCAAGACAGCGGGCAGAAACCTGCCGGAAGAAGAGATCAAGGTGCACAGCAGCGGGATACGGACTGGGAAATCCCAGCTTTTCTACGCGTTCAAAAAAGAAACCGGAACGACAAATAGGCATGAGTGCTATATTGTCTTCTATCAGTACAACTTTTTATTTAAAAGTCAGTTAGATGTCTTGATTAGGTTCCTTAACTATGGTTAAAGTTACATTGCATTTTGATAACACAATGTAGCGTATATCGCTTTCACATTTTTGCTTGTAGACGCGCCTTTCAAGCGTGTCCCGTTGTTTTACTTTGTAGGTGCGCTTTCGAGCGCACCCATAGGTGTCAATTTAGGGTTTCCGTACTCTTGTAGGTTGGGTAGAACGGAACTAAGAAGATGGAGGTTGGTGTTCCAAACACACGTCAAATCTAATACACGGCGGTATTCCTCAAGAACATAGTGAAACCCAACTTCATACCATATCCACAGAGGTGTGGCACTTGAGAACAAAAGCGTTGGGTTTCACTCGGTTTTGGGTTAATGTGGCGTATATGGAGAAAGTTTCATTTTTTCTATGATTTTTACAGTTTTGGTGGCATCCGTTCTACCCAACCTACGATGCGCCGAGGCAGTTTTTCTTAAATTGACACTTATGGTGCGCTTTCGAGCGCACCTTATTATACATGAGGTACATGAGGAAATAGTGGATTTACGCCAGCACTACCAACATTTGCGCAGCGAAGAACACAGTGCGCATCATAATTTCAGAAAACCTAACAGATTCGCCCTTGTCTATCCATGCACGTATGCGCTTGGGATGTCAAGTCTTGGCGTACAGGTTATCTATGCTACTCTCAACGCTCGGACGGACACCGCTTGCGAGCGCGTTTTTGTGCCCGAATCTAATTATATTCAGAAACTTGTCACCCAGAAGAAGCCTCTTTTCTCATTTGAGACGCAAACTGCACTGAATCAGTTTGACATCATCGGGTTTTCTGTCTCCTTTGAATCGGATTATGTAAATATTCCGCGCACCCTAAAACTCGCAAATATTCCACCGCTTGCCGAGGAACGTACAGAATGGGATCCGCTGGTTATTGCAGGTGGTATCAATATCTCCTACAATCCAGAACCGATTGCTGATTTCGTTGATGTTTTCGTTGTTGGAGAAGCCGAACTTGTTGTCCATCAACTCATGGCGCACTTTAACGAGTGGAAACAATCTGGGGCACCAAAGAGAGAGTTACTCGAAACACTCGCGACTGTCCCAGGGCTTTATGTGCCGAGTTTTTACGACGTAACCTATCAGGATGATGGGACTATTGGTGCGGTCACGCCAAAACCGGGGATATCCCGCCAAATTCAAGCGGCGGCTGTTCCTAACCTTGATGATGTCGAAACCTGCACACATATCCATACACCGAATACCGAATTCGCAAATGCGCATCTCATAGAAATCGTGCGTGGGTGTGGGAGGCAGTGTCGTTTCTGTGTTGCTGATTATGCCCGCCGATGGCCGAGGCGACGTTCTGTGGAAAACACGCTCGCACTCGCGGAACGGGCAAGAGGTATTACTGACAGGATTGGACTTGTTGGTGCTTCTATTTCTGACCATCCACAAATTGATGAAATTGCCACAGGACTCGTTGAACGTGGGTTCCGCATTTCTTGCGCCTCACTCCGCGCTGAAACTGTCCGTGCTCCGTTGCTCGATGCACTTGCAGACAGCGAACAAGGCACTATTACAATCGCTCCAGAAGTTGCCTCCGAGAAACTTCAAAAAGTCGTCAATAAAGCTATTCCGCGCGAGCAACTTTATCACGTTTTTGAGGAGGCGTTAAAGCGTGATATTCTTAACCTTCGCCTTTACTTCCTTATCGGTGTCCCGCATGAAACGCCTGCGGATGTGGAAGCTATTGTTGATATGGCAAAAGAGATGCGCACCATCGTTCTCCCCCATGCAAAACGGACAGGGAGAATAGCCCGTATTAGTTTTACCATCTCGCCCATGGTGCCGAAGCCACACACGCCTTTCCAGTGGGTAGCAATGGAACCCCCGAAAACAATTTCCCGAAAACTTGATTTCCTGAAACGCGAAATTAACCAGCTTGGTAGCATAAAAGTTGGGTCTGCGAGTGCAAGACTCGCGCACCAAGAGGCCGCCTTCGCACGCGGCGACCGGCGACTCGGAAAAGTTATCCTTGAACTCGCAAACGGCGTGTCATGGAACCAAGCCTTCCGCAATCACGGGTTAATGCCAGATTTTTACGCGACGCGCCAACGTCCATTGCATGAAGTCAACCCATGGGATCATCTCGATCTCAACGTCAAACCCCAATTTCTAAAACTTGAGCACAACAAGTACGAAAAAGGTTTTACGACCAGCGAATGTGATACGACCGTTTGTAAGAAATGTGGTGCATGTTAGATTGTTTCTGCTTCGCACCAACCGAGTAATTGCATGGTCGTCCAAATTTAATTAGGTTCTCTCTTAATATCCGATTTGCCCATTTGGCAAGTCTTACCGTATGTGTATGATTGAAGGAGGAATTTACTGTGCGTCAATTCGGAAAATTTATAGGGGTGCTTGTCGCAATATTCGTATTGTTTACCCTTACGACATCTTTATACGCAGGGTTAGATGACAAATCCCTTGTTTTATACCTCTCCTTTGATGAAGGGAAAGGTGGAGATGCCGCAGATGGCTCTGTACATGGGCATGATGGCGAACTTATCCAAAATCCCACATGGGTAGATGGACAGTTCGGCAAGGCATTGGAGTTCGACGGAACAAAGGGGCAGCATGTAATGGTGCCTATCAACGACACTTTACAGTTAAGAGAACAGTTCTCTATGGCTTTCTGGGTTAAACGTGACGATGCCCAAATTCGGGAATGGAATTACATGGTGACAGCGGGGTCCTTGAAATGGGCATCAATTTTAAAAAGCGGCGACAAGAAAACCTATATCTTTACGACATCTGGTGCTTGGGGTCAAAGAGCCGTCAGCGATGACATTCAACCTGATGACTGGGTCCATCTTGCCGTGACCCATGACACCAAATCCGGGATTGTTATCTACAACGACGGAAAAAAAGCGGGCGGTGGGGCTAAACCGTCTCCTGTTGATGAGATTGATGGCTCCGTTATGGTTGGTGCTCGTCACCCCGGCGAAGAATTTTTCACTGGTATCATCGACGAAGTATTTCTCTTTAACAGAATCATCCACCGAGGCGGAAGTCGGCGAAATTATGAATGGCGATTTCCTACCGGTGGAACCCGCAGAGAAACTCGCGACGACATGGGGCAGTATTAAATCTGATCGCGATTAGAAATACGCTTGGTTAAGGGCGGCGCAAACGCTGCCCTTACACCAGAGGTGAAGCGTATGCGAAAATATCTCGTCATATTAATCCTCTTCAGTACTTTTGGAAGCACTGTTTTATCCAATCCTTCACCGGCTGAAAAATATTATAAAAGTGCCACTGCCTACCATGATCTCGGAGAATTCGAGCAAGCTATCTCCGAATACAGAAAAGCCATCGCGCTTGATCCAAATTCCCCTATCATTTACAACAGGCTCGGTATCGCATACTCCGAGTTGAAACAATACGATGCAGCACTTGATGCTTATCAGAAGGCAATTGATTTGTCTTCTATGACTGCTGAACCGCACTATAACATTGGTGTGGTTTACCTCAAGAAGGGGGACTTTCCTCTCGCTGCTGAGGCGTTTAAACGTGCGATTGCTGTTGATGCAGAATGGGGAGATCCCTACACAGGACTTGGTGAAGTCTACTTGAAACAGGGTAATTTTGAACGGGCGACACTCGCCTATAAAGAAGCCTCACGCCTCAATCCAAAAGATGCTGGTGCCATTTTGGGATTAAGTAAAGTATCTCTAAAACAGGGACGCTTGGATGAGGCGATTACCGCTATTGAGAATGTGATTGAAATTCAGGTGGATAATACAGAAGCGCACTACCAACTCGCTCAGATTTACGTCAAACGTGGTGAAACGGAAAAGGCTGCCGCAGCGATGGCGTTTTTTAAAGTCCTCAGTCAGACGGATCCGCTCCTTGAGAAAGCCGAAATGTGGGTGAAAAGGCACCCCAATGACGCAAGAGGCTATAACAATCTTGGTATCGTTTACCTTGCACGCCACCGCTTTAAGGGTGCGATAGCCAACTATAAACACGCCATCTCGCTTGCACCTGATTTAGCGACTGCACATTACAACTTGGGGCATGCTTACCATAAACAGGGAAAAGTCAAACTCGCGATTGCGGCGTATCAGCAGGCTCTTGATGTAGATACGGAACTCGCGATTGCGCATAATAATATCGCGGTCTGCTATACCGAATTGAAGGTGGACCTGGACAAGGCACTCTTTCACGCGCGAACCGCTGTCCGTCTTGCACCGACTGAGGGAAATTATTGGGATACGCTCGCTCAAATTTGTGACGCACTTGGGTTGGAAAATGAAGCACAACGTGCGCGTGAGAAACAGGAAGAGTATTCCGGCAACAATGAGATGCCTCTATTTATGTTGTTATCTTCTTCACTCTGAGTGTGCCAGCTTTCGCCGAAGTCCAATTCGTTGACGCAACTGCCGCTGCGGGAATCTCATTTCAGCACGTTGATGGCAGAACCGGCGAAAAATTTCTCATTGAAACACTCGGATCTGGGGCAACTCTTTTTTGATTTTGATGCTGATGGGGCACTCGACCTTTATATAGTGAATGCGACGCATATCCCGCCACCGGTTGCTGAAAACACAGATCAAACGCATCTCCCGCGAAACAAACTCTATTGGAACAATGGTGACGGCACTTTTACCGATATTACGCAGAAGGCAGGTGTCGGTGATATCGGTTATGGTGTCGGGTGTGCTGCTGCCGATGTCAATAACGACGGCTACCCTGAAATTTATGTGACCAACTACGGACAGAACCGTCTTTATCATAACAACGGCGATGGCACTTTTACGGATGTCACGCAGAAGGCAGGTGTCGGCGATGAACGTTGGGGAACAAGTTGTGCCTTTCTCGACTACGATTTAGATGGTGATGTTGATCTATATGTCGTCAACTATATGAATTTTTCGGTTGAAGAGAATCGCTGGTGGGAGACGCGAGGTATCAGAACATATTGTAGTCCTACAGATCAGATTGCTGGCAGCCACTTTGTCAGTGAACCCGATATCCTCTATCGCAATAACGGCGATGGAACCTTCACAGATGTCACCGAAGCTGCGGGGATCTCACATCGAGCACTTGGCCTCGCTGTTGCAGTCGGTGACTACGATAATGATGGTTACCCAGACCTTCATATCGCCAACGATATGGAAGCAGACCTTTTCTACCGTAACAACGGGGATGGCACCTTTACTGAGACTGCTGACCTTACCGGCACCGGCTACGATGGAAACGGCTTCCCGGGAAGCGGCATGGGCAGCGCGTTCGGTGATTACGATAACAACGGCTACCTTGATCTTGTTGTCAGCAATGCCTCTTCGCTGCCCGTCCTGCTCTATCAAAATGAAAGTGCTATATTTTTTACCGATGTCTCTTTTACTTCGGGGATTGGAGCAGTGACACTTCCCTATTTTAAGTGGGCAGTCGAATTTCTTGATTACAACAACGATGGTCTCTTGGATCTCTACGTTGCGAACGGACATCTTCAGGAAAATATCGCGCTTTTCTCGGACGGCACTTATCCGCAGTCCGATTTGCTGTTTCGTAACAGGTACCGACAAGATGGCACTTACTACTTTACCGATGCATCTGTTGAAGTTGGCTTGACACAATTGCCCAAGAGAGTTAGCCGCGGTGCCGCATTCGGCGACTACGACAATGACGGGGATATTGATATCTTCCTCAATAACTCTAATCAGCCCGCGACGCTTCTCCGAAACGACGGTGGTAATAGCAATCATTGGCTGACAATCCAGCCTATTGGCACGCAGAGCAACATGTCTGGTATCGGCACAAAGATAGTTGTGAAAGCAGGTGATTTGTCTCTTTTCAAAGAAGTGCGTAGCGGTGCGAGTTACCTTTCGCAAAGCGATTTGCGCGTTCACTTTGGACTTGGAGAGAATTCGGAGGTAGACTCACTTGAAATTCACTGGCAGGGCGGACTCACGGAACGGTTTATCAATGTGGAGTCAAACCAGATCCTTCGTGTCAAAGAGGGGCATGGGATTGTAGACGATCAAGGAATAAGATAAACTGAGAAAGTGAACTCTGGTTTTCCTTGCGATTGATCGCAGATGTGCATATAATTGATTCAAAGCCATCACCAATAGAGGAAGAAACAATGAACATCCACATTGACGTAAAAAACTTCGGTCCGATAGAAAAGGCAGAGATAGACCTGCGTCCATTAACTGTATTCGTCGGTGAGAGTAACACCGGCAAGACGTATCTCGCCGCGCTCATTTACGCATTACACCAACATTTTGGAGGCATCCCACAATTTCCTTGGGCAGGTGCTATTACTTCTCATTTCGGTTTGGTTTACCGTTCGCGAGACCGCTATTCACAAAGTCGGCAGGAGGAGGTAGAACAAGAGATGTTAGAGGTACTCGAAAAGTTAAACACGCCTAAGCATCCGTTCAAATTTTCCGATTTACCTCAGCGGATACACACCTTGTTGGAGTCTAAACTCACAGATCAGGAGGACTTCACAAACGAGCTCAAACGGTGCTTCGACCTTGAATCTGTTTCTAAGTTAATTCGATTCACTGGAAGCGGAAGCGACGAAATGAAAGTGTCACTGTCGGTTCGCGAGGGTGATCAAACGTATTGGGATTTTGAGGCGCGGGACGCTGGATCCGGATCCCACTACAATCGGGCACATCAATCCAGACATAATTCTCCTTGACGCAAAGCGTAAGACTGAGTTCCGTGAAATATCCGATGTTGAACGTCTCTTTCGGACTTTAGACACCGATCGGTGGCGAACAGGGGATTCATACTACTTGCCTGCCGCTCGGAGCGGCATCATGCAAAGCCACGGTGTAATTGCGACTGCCCTTATCAAGCGGGCAACTCGTATAGGTTTGGATCGTTTTGAAGTATCTACATTTTCGGGAATGATAGCCGATTTTCTGGAGCAGATCGTTAACTACAAGGAACGCAAGGAATCGTCAAGCAGTATACGTCGCGTCGCTGAACAACTGGAAGCCGAGCTGCTGGAGGGCAAAATAGAGGTTAAACGCCCCACCTCAGAAGCGTATCCGGAATTTCTGTACCGTTCAGATCAGGCGGAAGAGGCACTGCGGATGAGCCACTCCTCAGCGATGGTATCCGAGTTGGCACCTTTAGTCCTCTTGCTGAGAGGTATCGTTAAACGGGGTGACTTGCTCATTATTGAAGAACCTGAATCTCACCTGCACCCGGGTGCACAAACCAAAATTGCCCAAACCCTTGCGCGTTTGATCCGAGCCGGTGTTCGCGTCGTGATTACAACACATAGCAACTGGCTCCTCCAACAAATCGGAAACCTGATTCGCGAAGGTGAATTGCAGGAACTCGGAGAATCCACAAGTGAATCAGCAGACTACCTGAAAAAGGAAGAAGTCGGTGCATGGTGGTTCCATAAGAACAAGCCGGTCGCAGAACTCCCGTTTGACCTTACTGAAGGTATAGAACCCGAAGATCACTTGGATATAGCGGAGGATCTCTATAACCGTTCGGCAGGGCTCCAAAATCGACTTGAAGAAACGAAGGGCAGGGATGCGGTTGAACCTGATTAAGGGGCTTACCCGCATTCGAGAGCAGGTGTCCCCAAACAGCCTCACGAACTCATGCGGTGGAGAGGGATGTCAGGTATACCGTACCGACATACCTAAGGAGCGGGTCGTGATAAATGTAGAGAAAGAGTTTGATTCACGCGGAGAGAGCAGAAAACGGTGCGACCGTCTGCTGTTTTACGGAAATAAAATACCCTCGTCGCGGTTCCGATTGAACTCAAAGGTCGTGGTAAAGGCGACGAATCACAAGTGCTTGAGCAGTTGAAAAGCGGTTTAGAATTTGCCGCTACCCTCGTGCCGAATTTGAAGGAAACTGTCTACGTTCCAATTGTGTTTACCAAGAACGGCATTAGATCAAGGAATCCAAGACATCAAAACCGAGAACTTAAAGTGAAATTCAAGGGTAAAACTTTGACGGTTCTGACAGGGCGTTGTGGTAGAAAAAAGAACCTCGCGAACTTACTCTCCGAGGCAGGTTATCTCTAACTTCAATTCAATCCAAATTATTCCTAACTGACAATTAAACACTCTATTTTCCCTATTGGGTGTGTAAAAATTCTCTGCCAATTCTTTTATCAAATTTTCCGCTACAAAACCTTGCCCTTTAGGATGGCGATGTAGTAGCGGCGAATGGTTTGATAAAAATGGGAAGTAAGATAAGGGCGAATGTCTCAGATACGGCACTATCTTTTTCTCCAGACATATACACATTTCCGAAGTGGCACGCGCCCATGCGCTCCCATTTGTTGACTACTATTTCCTTTTTTGCCGGGAACAACCAGAATTTTTCAACCTGCAAAACCGAGGGACTGTCGCGATGTCGGATAAAATCGTGTCTACCGAGATACTCACCCCTGCATAGCGCACATTGTCGTTTACCATACAGAGACGAGCATTTGGTTTTAAGACACGAGCACACTCGCCAATGACACATGCCATTTCGGAGAAATACCCACGAACCATCCTCGGAATATTGCTATTGTTTAGGGTGCCAGATGCCTTTTCATGTTCGAGGTAGGTGCATATTGTTTGTAGTAATTTTTGCTGGTTGGCTACTTCTGTAAAAGGTTCCCATTGCGGACAGATTTTCAATAAATCCTTTTCTCGGTTTTCCACAGTACAACTAAGCATTTCTTGCCGTAAACCGGAAACTTCCGCCTGTGTCAATCCGAGCATCGCGAGTTCAAGGGCATACGTCCGCGTGTAATCGTAGCGGTTGCAATAAGGTGGCGAAGTCACAACTGCTCCATAAGAGGCTGTTTCAAGGGTTGGAAGGACCTCAAGACATGAACCTTTGAATAACCGAATATCCTTCATTGTCCGCTTAACAGGGAAAAGCGTTACGGGTGTCTCAGCATCACGGATATCCGATAAAATTTCTTTGAGCTTGGCAATTATGGCAGCATCAAAAGCAAGGATTTCGCCTTTGTTGAAAGCCTTTGTTCCTGGTCGTTGCTTGCCTGACCGAGCATCCCAACGGAGATATTGCCCGTCTTTTCGGGTGTAACTGATGCCTTCTAAAACGCACAGTAGTGCGAGGCGCAAGATCGCCTGAATTTTATCATTTTCCCGTTGAAGTGCCCCTCTGTACCTTTCAATCGCCTCTACTGTTTCTGGCGGATAGGCGTTCTCCGTGATTCGAATTGTACTGAATGTCACCTTTTCTGAAGATTCCTTCCACGGAGAAGAGTTTATCCAGTGTTCAAGTGTGGCGATGTCATCGACTGTTAATTCTCTTTCTGATAAGAGACGCGAGCGGATAATTTCCTGACCGATAGGCAATAATTCTATACCATCTGCGGGGATTCCGTGAGAACTTGCCGCAAACAAGGTTGTCCCTATCCCAGCAAACGGGTCAAGGACCTTTCCAGACATTCCTCCCGAGTAACTGCCGAGAAAATATTCAACAAGGCCTGCCGAGAAGGCTTCCTTGTATTTATACCAACTATAGGCGGGCTTGTCTTTGTTGCCTTGAAAGCTCACAATCTTTCGCGACAAAAAGGGGGATACTGAGAATTGTGATTTGAAAGCCTCGGCGAGTTCAGCGTCGAGGGCGGCTATTTTTTCACGCAGTTCGGTAGTTTCTGGCGAGGTATTATTTTTTTGTGATGTCATAAGCATCTTTACGCATCGCCGTCGGGGATTTCAGGCCAATTGTGCTCTGGTGAATACCCTAAGTCGTCTTTTGCCTGTTTCCACGCGAAACGGGAGTCTGCGCGTCCAGCGACGGCGTTATATGCCCCGTATTTTACCGTCTCTGTCTCAATCGCGCGGGCAACACACTGTGCAACATCCCTCGGATCTACGTAAACGAACCAAGGATCCGTTACAACATCGGGGGCTGCCGGACCGGGGTTTTGTCCGTCTCCTGCGATGACCCCTGGACGGACATGAATCACGTCCAACCCATGCGCTTGATGATATGCTGCCCCGATCTGCTCACCGAGGTATTTCGCGAGCGCGTAGTAGATGTCTCCTGGACCGAACTGGAAATCATCGCCTACCTCGTACGGCAATTTTGCACTCGACGCAGGAGGATATGCTGAAATACTCGAAATGTTCACCAGCTTCCCTACACCCTGTTTTACACAGGCTTCTGCGACATTCCATGTGCCTTTCACCATCACATCTGCAAATAACGAAGCAGGTTTATCGGATCGTCCCCGTACCAAGGCGACAAGATGCACGACAGCGTCCTGCTCCGCACACGCTGCTTCGATTTCGGCGGCGTTTGTCACATCAGCCTTGATAAAAGTTGTGTCTGCAGGTACTTGATCCGGTTCAACGATGTCAGTTAGCGTCAGTTTATATGAACCGTACAACCGGTTAATAATAAATTGCGCTAAATATCCGCTCGCGCCAGTAATCAAAATCTTTTCAATGGTTGCCATTGGTTTCCATCCTTGAAGGATTTAAACGAAAGGTGCTGTTTCGTAGAGCGCGTCATTAAAACCAACAAGGAAAACCTCTCCACTCTGCACTGTCGGTGCACGTAGGCTGCCGCTTCTTCCTATAACCGCTTTCAGGATTGTTTCTTGATTGTCTTCGGTTGGCACGAAGGTTTCCAGACGCTTCCCTTCGCAACGATGATTTGTTTCGCACTGCCCATTAAATCCCAAACCGCTGCGGCATCCATTTTCTCTTTTCGAGCGTCCGTACGGTTTTCTGCTTGTAAGTTATGTGTGTCAAGAACCTCTTGCACTTTTTTGCATGAGTTTCAGCTGTTCCGAAAATAGATCCAATCTACCATTAGAGTTCCTCCACGTGGATAAATCTACCGGTGTCGCGACTCTGGACAGCGGCATCAATTAATGCGAGCGTCTGAACTGCATCAGCGAAAGGCGAACGGATCAGGGTCCTGTCGCCAGTTTCAATGGCGCGCAGCCATGCTCCGGTTTTGTCTAAACCTAAACTATTTTGGGCAACTACCGGCTCATTGATGGTTTCACCATTAAGATAGCCGTTAATGGCATTATCCGTCATATTTGCGTGTAGCCGCAAATGTGGTCCGACGACTTCTACCTCGAAAGTAAATTTTTCGGTGCCGCAGTGATTCATGTGCGTTCCGAAAACCCCGTTATCCAGTTGATAGGTCATCTGGATAGCGTTTTCCGCATCAAATTCCGTTCGGTCCAACGCCATATTCTTGATGGCAAGGGCATGCGCCTGCACCGGTTTCGGATTTCCCATAACAAACCGCGCACAATCTAACACATGTACCGCCTGTTCAGGTAAGGGACCACCACTGATCTCAGATTGCAGAAACCACGGTGACATTCTGAAGCTGAGGTAGTAATCAACGGTGCATACCGTCCGGACGAGATGTACCGTCTCCGATGCGATTAACGCCTTCAACCGTTCATAGAGTGGATGATAGCGAAGTTGGAATCCGACAGCAGCGATGACACCCGCTTTCTCAATATATGCAAGGCACTTTCTACCTTCAGCCATATTCAAGGCAGGCGGTTTCTCAACCATCACAGGGATAGCGCGGTCGCACGCCATCTGAATAGGTTCGAGACGAATGGGGGGTGGTGTAGTAATCACCACCCCGTCCATTTCTACATCGAAAAAAGCATCCAAATCAGTAGTAGCGACTGCTGCTTCGGTACGCGTTGCGAGTTCGCGCGCTGCTTCAAGCCGCACGTCGTGGACTGCAACGACACGTCCGCCGTAGTCGGTTACCGCTTTGTGATGATGCCCACCCATACCGCCGGCACCGATGATACCTATTGCTAACGTTTTTTGAGGGTTCATTGTTTTTTGAGGGTTCCCCACGTTACGGCGAGTTTCCCGTTCGGTTCAACCGGTGCTGGATCGAAGTTAGGTGTGACGACGATAACGTTATCGTACTGAGCGTTTTCACCTGTTATACCGGCATATTGCATTTTTGTCCTTGTTTTTTGCAGGCGAGGTTGAAAACCTCACCTACAGTAGACAGTATTACTCTGTTTTTATCTCTGCCCATGTTGTGGTAAGTTTCGCGTCCTGTTCAACAGCCATTGGATCGCTTCCACCATAAATCTCGATTTCGTCAATACGCGCACCCCCATTCGTTTCGGACATGGATGCGCAGCCAGCGTGCTTCTACATCTTTGAAAGTGAACTCAGTCGTCTTGCTGACTGGATCACCTTTGTGGGTATAGATTTTGTCCCATGTATTCGCTTCAGAATTCGGGTCTGCCTTGGTTGTCGCTACGAGGATATCGAAATCCGCTGTCGTCCGGTCATGGAAATCTTGGGCATGATCACTCGCGAAATAGATACGGTTCACATTCGCGACATCACCCATATCAATTTGTGCCCAACCCGGTATAGGACCGATAATCCAACTGCGGCAGTTGTTATAGAAACCGTCGTTGAGGTATTCTATGCAGTGTATAAGAGGAAACCATAATACAAATGTGAGGAAGCTTATGGTTTAGAATCCTTGAGGATGAAAAATTAGGATAATTTGTTTGTTTTGTTTTTTTTTTGTTGTTTTTGTTTTTTTTATTTTGTTTTTTGTTTGTTTGGTTTTTTTGTTGTTTGTATAGGTGTGTTTCTTTTTGTTGTTTTTTTTTTTTTTTTTGGTGTTTGTAGTTTTGTTGGGTAAGTTTTGTTGGTTTTTTTTTTTTTGTTTTTTTTGTTGTGTTATATTTTTTTGTTTTCTGTATTTTGGGGGTTGTGTGGTTTTTGTTTTTTGGTGTTTTTTTTTGTGGGGGTATTTGTGGTTGTGTTTTGTTTTGGGTTGGTTTTTTTTTTTTTTATTTTGGTTGTTTGTATTGGTTGTTTTTTGGTTGGTTTTGGTTTTTTTTTGTGTTTGTGTATATGTTTTTTTTTTTTTTGTTTTTATTTTGGTTGTTTGTTGTGGTTTGGTTTGATTTTTTTTTGGTTGTGGGTTGTTGTGTTGTTTTTTTTGTTTTTTTTGGTTTTTTTTTTTTTGTTTTTTTGGTTTGTCTCGGACTGTCGGCACGAATTCAGGTCCCGACGCTCCACCGGCTTCACATTCATCCGTTGCTTCTTTAATGTCATGTTCCTTGAATTCGTAACGTCCGAATTTCTCAGGTCCCTTGTCTTCATCATGGACTGCGAAGACAGCAGGTGAGCATATTAGCACTGCTATCATCGCAAACCACCAT